TCCACTGAAGTAAAGAAAAAGATTAAATTAATTCTAGTTGGTTTGAGATGAAGCCATTGATCATTTGCAGTTAAGTTTCCTCCACCTATTAGATTAATATTACGTATTGCTGAACGATCAAATTCCATTTTTTTGCTTTCTCAAGACAGCAAAATAAGGCAGAATAGCTTTTAAATTATTATTTTCTTTTATTCTAAATTGTTATGAGTTCTAAGTAATGGTTGTAATTCAAGGCAAAGCTTGGCTTTTTAAAGAGCATTCTCCAACTTAATTTTCAAAAGTGTTCTGAAGACTGAATAACTGGAACAATTGACAAATGACTGACTGCTGGAGTTAAAATAAGGAATAGTATGCCTAGATTTCTGCTGAGAAGAATTTTATATTCTTTAATTCTCAGTCCAAAAAGGACATATAAACATTCATATTCTATTTTTACAAAGCTGACTGCTTTACTGATTCATGTTTTTGCTCCTTCTTTAAGGTACTGGATGATTTATTTCCCTAGCAAAAGAAAAGGTGATTGTTTTTTGAGAGAGACTCATAAGTGTCTTTGTAAACATTCCCTTTAAAATATATATATATTTTTTTAATTCCCTTAATAGAGTTCAGAGATTACTTCTCTGACTCTATATAATGTTCAGAGATTGTTGTGTAACTTGATACAGTCTAAAACACTAAGGAAGAATCAAGAACACATCATTAAGATCTTTGTAGTTTGTTCCGTAATTGAGCTATAATTTTCATATACTCTAGATGTTCTCCTTCACTCCTATACTCTTTGGGCTGGTAAAAAGGTTCAAATAACCACTTTCTGTTTCTCTTTTTGTAAAAGTTATGTTAGTATATACCATAAGTACTAATAATGTTTACAAGGTATACCGGCATGTACTATACCAGGCAGAAAAGATATAGCAAGTAATATTGCTATGCAACTTATTCAGAAAAAGAAATTTTAACAAATACCCTATTCATCAGTTCAAATAAGTGGAATGCTGTTATTCATGAGGGAGAGACAAGTATAACCAATGCAGTACAATGTATATTCTATGCTGATTTTCCCAATACTGGAAATATTCATTTTTATACTGTCTGCACACACATTCTTTTTTATGAGTAATTATCAAGCTAAGTCTAAAATGTAATATGTGTCCCAAAAAGGACATAATTACTGTAAATTATAACAGTAAGTCACTTCTTTGCTCCATCATAAAATTTTGGGGAACTGTTTCAGCTTGAAAAATTACAAATTGAAAATATAGAAATGCAGAAAAAATATTATAAAAGTCACATGTGTATTTGTTTTGAACCTTCTACCCATGGTTATAGGGACAATCTAAGAGGAAATAACTTCTGAAAAACATGAATTAATTTAAATTTAACAGGTGCCAGAAGCAATTCTTGGAGAAAAAATAAGTGTCAGAAAATGCTAGAGCAAAAATATAATTAGACATAGTTTAAAATGCATTTATATGTGATCTCAATTCTATTTTTCCATTAATAATGTCTTGGTGTTTTGCCTGAAGTGATAATTATTTTATTTAAATAGAGCATCTGAGGATATACTCTAAGACCAAGTATCTATGGAGATAATAAGTGGTAAATGTAGCTTTTGCTCTTTTTCAAAGGGCTCCGCACAGCACTGGAATTGCACCTATTTGACAGTGATCCATACAAAGAAGAACTTCACATCTGAAGATTTCATAGAGCTTAATACGAGTTTATATATTTATGGTCTTATATTAAACATTTTCTTGAAATAAGCAACAAAGAAGCAAATTTGAAAAGCTTGCCCTACTCTACTCAATCAAAATCCTCGTAAAAAACAAAATGCACACCAAATATTTTAGGAAAACCTATTAACTGCTGTTAAGGTTCATTTTCTGCTTATCTGTTGGTCTCTTTTTAACATGTATGTCCGCAAAATACTTTTTCTTTTGCTGTTATGCTTCCTGTTCAGAAAAGCTGGTGAGTGCAGTTCTATAAGTGTGATGGATAGCATCTTTTTTATTACTTAGTCTGTATTTTTGTTCTGTTGGGGGTGGGGGGATTTGGTTTTGAGGCTTTTTGGTGGGGTTTTGGTTTTGGTTTTCAGAAAAGTGGAAGAGGTAGCAGACACTGAAATGAGGGACTATTTGCTCTCTCTTTGGAGGAATTACAAAGCTTGCTTAGCGGGCACACTTCAGACTACAAGGTTCGAATGGCAAGGAAGACACAGAATGCAGATGGAAACCTTCAGGTTATAAAGTGACTGAGAAGCATCACTGAGAAAAATGGAGCAGATAAGTGATGCCAGAGATATGATCAAAAGGTTAGGGAACAAAGCAACTTAAAACATCATTCAGAGGAGAAGCATGTAAAGAATTTTATTTCTTTTTGTTGTTGTTTTTGTCCTTATTTACTTAGAGTTATTTTTTAATTCAGAAATATTAATATTGTATTTGTTATTTTAATAAAATTTTGGTTTTCTGCTTTAAATGTGTTTTGGTCTACAAAAAAATATTATAAGCTTATTCACATCAAACCTCTGGTTGGCTGCAGGTCTTATCAAACTGAGAGAGTGAACACTTTACAAGAGGGAAGGCAAGAGGTAAAGAATTGCTGTAAATTCTTCAAAGTAAGAAAGATTACTAGATAGTTGCCACATAGTTTAATACTGGGCACCCTCGTTTGTTACTATGACTAATGCCTTGGGTGACAGTACAGAAAATATACAAGTGATAGGATTTAGATTGTTGTAAAAAATCCTATAATGAAATACAGAATCAGAGTGCACAAATCACCGTGATAGAAAACCACACATATTTGTAAGTGACCATGCACACGTACTATTTAAACTTTAAAATGCAGATAAATGTAAAGTGTTGTAGGTGGGCACTATTATTCTAACCAACTATTCTAACCATTACATTTATATTAACAATAAAGGACTTCAGTCAATGTAGCATACTAATTTTAAGGCAGTCAATTCTCTATTGCTTGAAGTTGTATCAGTGTGTAATGTCTTAAAATAGACATAAGCCACAGTATTGACACAGAATTACTAATAAAATTAGCTCATCACTGTGGTATGAAGAACTTAAAATTCAATACTTATATGAGTTAATGAATAATGACATCAGTTAATGAATTTCAAAACTTTTTTTTTTTTTTTTTTTTTTTTTTTAACTCAGAATTTACCATTGTTAGATATTACAGGAATCGTAATAGGTTGTGTAAATTTTCAGATAGGTTGTTGTGGTGGGTTGACGCTGGTTGGATGCCAGATGCCCACCAAAGCCCACTCTATCACTTTCTCTCCTCAACTGGACAGGAGGAAGAAAAATATAATGAAGGCTTGTGGGTTGAGATAAGGACAGAGAGAGATCACTCACCAACTACCGGTAGGGGCAAAACAGACTCAACTTGGGGGGGAAAAATCAATTTAATTTGTTACCACTCATCCGAATAGCACAGTGAGATATAACAACCACATCTTAGAACAACTTCCCAACACCCCTCCCTTCTTCCCGGGCTCAAATTAATTTGCTTCCAATTTCTCTACCTACTCCCTGCCACAGACACAGGGGGAAAGGGAACAGGGGTTTCAGTCAAGTTGCCTATGCCACACTTCCCAGCATGAAGTCCTTCCCACAGGCTGCCAAAAGGA